GCTTCGATGCTCTTCTGTCCCGTCGCCGTGGCGTCCGAGAGGATCTCAAACACCTCCTGGCGCTCCAGCGGCTTGTTGGACTCGATCGTCGCGGCCTCAAGCGCCGACGAGGCGTCCGCGAACCGAACAAAGACATCAGCGTTGCCGTCGACTTCAAGCGCACGGAGCACGGAGCTGGCGACCTTGGCCGACGCCGCCGCCGCCATCGTCGAGAGGATGAGGAAGGCCTTCATGGGATTTGACACGCTTTGAGTCGAAGCTGGCAAATTTGAAAATGAACCAAGTGAGGCGCGTAGCCTAGGAATGTCGGATACCTTGAAGCTACAATCCAGATCTTGCCAAGCCGCGAGTGGGTGTAGGGCAAAGCTGTTGAGACGTGACCAAAAACATCTGAAACAACAGGCTACCAATCACGCTGGTAAATCAGAACATAAAGGAAACGGTTGTTAGGTGACGTGATGCAAACAATATCGATTCAACCGAACGGCTTGGGTTAGCGGAAAAGTTTAGCAACTTACATCAGCGATATCAAATATGACACGCTATTCTAGGGCTAGTGACGCAATGTGGAGCATATAATGTTATCGTCTGCAAAGTCCTGGCATGTCGAACAAAATGGATTACGTTGCCTGGACCCTTCTTGGAAGCGCATGACCGTGCATTTGTGCACCGCTACCAAATGATACCTGTTTGCCCAAGCAAATCAGATCCATGGCGGGACATTTGCATCCATTCTCAGATATCCAGGGTGCGATCTTGACGCCCAATCACCAAAATCAGACACAACACATCACTCACGAGCGCCATATGATTTGTAACGCGCATAATATATATTTAGTGGACTAAATCTCACACCCGTCACAAGGTGGTTCAGGTAGCGGTCACAAGCGAGTGTCCGCGGGTGCATCTGATACAGACCTGGTGATCCATCCTATCTGCACCCACACACCCGCTCTCCTAGCTGTACGCAAACGGCGGTGCATTAACGACCCAGAAGCGTCGTACAGCGCAATACTTGGTCTGTACTTCGTCGCCGAGACTTGCTCGTCATTGTAGTCGTATCAAAGTCCGATTCATGACACTAGCATGTTGATTTTGTTGGTTTCGTTGATTGTGACAAAAGAGGGAACTATATGCCACCGACGCGAGCGAGCTCCATCGCCGGAGTTGTAGTACACAGTGCAAGGCGATCTTGCGCATCACCTCATCTGAGAAATAAACTGTCCTTGGCGCCGCCATCCAAGGCAGCCGATTCTGTGTGTAGACGGGCCCCACGCCAGAAAACCGCTCACAATACTAGCAATGTACGCACCCACTGCGCCAAAGAGGCGGGCAGCCTTTTTGTGTTGCGTGTGTCCATTCCTACATGTATCCATGGGACCCCACGCCTTGCAAACTCAGATATCGGTGGTGCATGTCTCGCCCTCAACATCTGCAACAACACATATGTTGCACCAAACACAGCCAGGACCAGGCGAAATTCAGCCCACAACTTGGGCATTCTACAATTTGCTTTGTCCAGCGCAAGTTGACCATGAAGATTTTCGCCCTTGCGTCCGTGCTGGCGCCAGTGTACGCCAAGATTACGAGCTCGGCGCTGCGCGCGATCGAGCAAGACGCCACGTTCACGGCCTTCGTCACGTTCAAGGGGTCACCCGCCGCCGAGACGGAGAGCGCTGCGGTGACGGGGTTCGAGCGTCGCCAAGCTCTTTTCGAGGAGGCATCCGTCGTGGCTGACAGCCGCAAGCAGACGCTGTCCGAGATCGTCGGCGACCGCAAGGTCAAGGCGTTCTGGATCACGAATGCAGCCACGGTCGAGAACGTCGACCGCGCGCTCGCAGACAAGATCGCCAAGCTCGACAACGTTCTCAAGGTCGACGTCGTCAAGACGATCAAGCTCAGCCCGGTCCTGAAGAAGGACAGCACGGAGAACTCGCCCATTGACAACTCCCGTCCCACGGGCATTCAGTGGGGCGTGAAGACGATCGGGGCCACCGACGTGTGGAAGACGACCAAGGGTGAAGGCATCGTCGTTGGCTCGATCGACACGGGTGTCCGCCATACCCACGAAGCCATCAAGTCCAAGTGGCGCCAGGCCAAGGGGTGGTACGACCCGTACCTCCAGACCGCGCTCCCCGAAGACATCAATGGCCACG